GCTCCTTCCTGGCTGACTGTGTCCAGAGGGGGGTGCTGGGGGACAGTGGCTCTGTTTCATGGCATTTATGTCATGAAGTTCCTCAGGGTTCGATACTGTCCCCCATGCTGTTTAACATCTACATGGAACTGCTGAGAGAGGTCATCAGGAGGTTTGGGCCGAGGAGTCAGCAATATGCTGCTGACACTCAGCTCTACCTCTCATTTCCCACCAATCCAGGTGAGTCGGTTTCTGTGCAACTCTTGTCTGGACCTGATAATGGACTGGATGAGGGTTAATAAATCGAAACTCAATCCAGACAAGACCGAAGTGCTGTTAGTGGGTGCTTTTTTGAACAAGCTGGAGGGCCATTTCTCTGCCCTGAATGGGGCTGTACTCCTCCTAAAGGACAGGGTCCAGAGCCTGGGGGTGCTCTTGGGCCCCAGTCTAACTCTGGAAACCCAGGTGGACTCGGTGGCCAGGGGCGCCTTCCTTCAGCTGCAGAAATTATACCAGCTTTGGTCCTACCTGAACGAGTGGAGTCTCATGACAGTTACACATGTACTGGTAACATCTCGCATAGATTACTGCAATGAGCTCTACGTGGTGCTGCCTTTGAAGACTGCAACTGGCCCAGAATCGAGTTGCATGGCTGGTGAGTGGTGGGGCCACTAGGGGACACATCAAGCCGATTCTGTTTAAATTACATTGGCTACCAGTTGCTGCTCGGGCTCAATTCAAAGTGCTTGTTTTGACCTATAAAGCCCTAAACGGCTTGGGCCCTGGATACCTGAAGGACCACTTCCTTCCATCTGAACCTACCCAGCAGTTAAGATCTGGCCTGGGAGTCCTTTTGAAAGAACCATCCCTCAAAGAAGTAAGAGGGATGGCTTGTAGACAAAGGGCCTTTTTGGCAGCTGCCCCCAGGCTATGGAACGCCCTCTGGACGGAGATTTGTCTGGCACCGACGCTGATGACATTTCGGTGCCAGGTCAAAAGCTTCCTGTTCCAGAATACTTTTAATTGAAATAATATCAACTGTGGGTCCTGATGGCAATTTTAGAGTATATATTTTAATTGTTTTATATATTTTTTTACTGTAGTTAAATTGCTGTAAGCCGCCCAGAGACCTTTGGGTAGTGTAAGCAGTATATAAGTTAAATAAATAAACAAGTAATATTGTGGACGGAAAATCCCTTCTCACCCTCCCTCTCAGCTAAGCAGTCCTACAAGAATTGTAATTAAGCTTAGGGGGTTCAAAAAGGTTTGAAAGTGCAGAAGGTGACATTGTCCCTGCAAATCAAAAAGTCCCAGCACCTAAATGTCTCTGTGTGCTGCCACTCAATGACAGAGGCTAGTCGCAGTGGGAGGTTTCTATGCTGTACGTGACATAAAGCAACTTCCCACCCACCCAAATGGGCCCAAACCTCCCAGAGGCTACTGCACCAGGCAGTGCTGATGAGATTTCAAAAATTCTGGACCAGTGTTTTCAACAAAGTTAAAAGTAATACGAACATGAGAAAGGCTTCACTTGCTGTAGAGCACATAAGTAGCCTATTTCTAGTCCTAAACTGGATCTGTAGAACTTACAGAGGAGTTGACTTAAGTGGGCCTATTCTAATTGTGACTTACGCTAAACAACAGAATTTCAGCCAATGTCAGCCTATAAACAAAGCAAAAGCAAAGTGTGTTGCTTCTATACCACCCCATTGTGCTTAAAACTCTCTCTAGGTGGTTTACAACTTAACTACTAAGGCTACACATTGGCCTCCCACAAGCAAGCACGGTGCTCAGTTTACCGACCTTGGAAGGATGGAGGGCTGACTCAACCTTGAGCTGGCTACCTAAGCTCGGGATCAAATTCAGGTCATGGGCAGAATCTTTAGTGCAGTACTGCAGTTTAACCACTGCATCATGAAATTCCTATGTGTATTTGTAGTGAAATCCAGTTTAAAATTTATTAGGTGCCATCAAGTCAAAACTGACTTACAGTATAGTGACCCGAATAGAGTTTTCAAATGAGATACCTAAGGAGTGGTTTTACCAGCTCCAGCTCTCTCCAGTGAATTTCTATGACAGAGTCAGGGAATCGAACAAAGGTCTCCTGAGTCCCAGTCCATTACTCTATCCACTGTACCACAATGAGTACCAGTCACATTCTACTAGACTGTACATCCTACTGATGTTACTTCTCAAATGTCACCCAGGGCCTTGGCAAAAAGAGTCTTAGGGACACTTACATAGAAATTCTGCTTGGAAATTTCAGTAGTGATAATTCTCACTCATCTCAGTAGGATCTATTTCTGAAGAAACGTATCATTTTTTGAGGGGGTTAGTTGCTAGAGAAAATTTGTAGTACCTTTAAGATTAACAGTTTTATTATGGGAATTGTATGATGTCCCAGTCCACCAGACGCCCCTGAAGAAGTCATTACACTATTTGCTAATCTTTAAGGCAACCACAAGACTCTTAATCACTTCTGGTGCATGTTAAGAAAGAGAAACTGTGATGTTCATATAGTAGCATTGCTGGAGAAAATTGCTTCATTCTGTCTGCTGTGGAGGATATATGCATTAAATACAGGAGTAAACTCTTGGGTTGTAAGGAGATGTATGATAAACCAGGTCCTTTTTCTGTAGCTGTAACTGGCTTAAAAACAGGAAGCAAAATGAAGAATAAACGGGCCGTTTTCACAATAGAGGGAAGTAAGCTGGGGAGTCCTAAAAGGAGCTTTACTGGGAATTCTCCAAGGCATAAAAAAAGCCCACTGCGTTCTCGAAGGCTTTGACAGCCGGGATCTGATGGTTATTGTGGGTTTTTCGGGCTGTTTGGCCGTGTTCTGGAGGTTTTTCTTCCTCACATTTCTCCAGTCTCTATAGCCGGCATCTTCAGAGGAAAGGAGCTAGAACTCAAAAGATGCCGGCCACAGAGACGGATGAAATGTTAGGAAGAAAAACCTCCAGAACATGGCCAAAAAACTCACAACAACCAAAAGCCCACTGTATTCGTCTGTGGTGCAGGGTGGGAAGGGATCCAGAGATCATTAAGAAAAATAAATTCAGAGGCCCAGAAAGCTTATTTATTATAATCTATGTTATTCATTTGAACAAGGTGCAAGTCACCATTTTAAATATGGGGCTGGAGGAGAGCTCTGCAGATACCAGGGATCACCAGGTACACAAGCAAGTGGGTCAAATCAGCTAGATCAAATAAAGCCTTTAGAAGCCATCTTGAGTCCCTTATTGGGAGAAATATGGCCTATAAATAAAACAAATAAAATAAATAAAATAAAAATGACAAAACTGAGGCATTGTACTTTGGGCATATACTGTAATGGGAAGGCAGACTCACTAGAGAAGACAATTTATGCTGAGAAAGTGGAAGGCAGCAGGAATAGAGGAAGATGTATTCTCAAAGGCTTTCACAGCCTGGATCCGATGGGTGTTGTAGGTTTTTCGGGCTGTTTGGCCGTGTGAAGAGGGTTTTTCTTCCTAACATTTTGGAATCTTTAGAGGGATCTTTAGAGGACAGGAGTCAGAACCAGAGCACAGAGTTCCTACTCCAGTCCTCTGAAGATGCCGGCCACAGAGACTGGCGAAACGTTGGGAAGAAAAACCCTCAAAACACGGCCAAACAGCGCAAAAAACTTATAACAACCAATAGAGGAAGGTGGCCAAACAGCTTGAAAAACCTACAACAACCACTGGATCCTGGCCATGAAAGCCTTTGAGAATAAATAGAGGAATACTAAATATGAGATGGAATGACTCCATAAAGGAACCTCTTAGAGTTTCTAAGAGCTGGGCAGGGCTGTTGAGCACATGACATTTTGGAGATTTCTCATTCATAATCATCAAATCAGAGGTAACATCACTGCAAATAATGTTAAAGCAAAGTGTGCTGCTTATATACTGCCCTTTAGCTTAAAGCACTTGCTAGGCAGTTTATAATGCAATTGTTTAGGCTTAATCTAATCTCGGAATTGGCCTTCTCAGCCACACTAGATGCTGTTCCAAGTCCTCTGTCACCATAGTCTCTTGAGACTGAAGGATGCCTAATCGAATCTGTTTAGGCTACATATCCCCTCCCAGCAAACTGGGTGCGCAAAAAGCATGGAAGGCTGAGTGAACCTCCAGACACATGAGATTGAACCGGGGTCCTGAGCAGAGTTTTGGCTGCAGAACTACTGTTTAACCACTGCACCGTGGGGCTCCTTTACTTACTAATATATTACTGTGAGCTTATATGTTATAACAACCTATTATGGAACAGCATGGTCTCAAATGAGTAATTAAGAGCCATTAGCTTTACAGAAGAGCTGCTCTCCCTTAGAGGTGAACACTCCTGGTTTGTTGGTAACCTCAACAGAGCTGTCTGCATTTTTGCACCCTCCTTGGGAGATGACACACGGGGACTGCGATAATGAAATCTACCGCTTAACTAGGAGACAAACCATCACCCCTTCCCAGAGAGGGTTCCAGAGGCCTCTGGTAGAGACAGGCACGCTAGGCAGGTTTCAGGATGTTTTACTGTGTCTTCCGGTACTCCTTCATCTACAGGAAAAGAAGACTGTGGAGAAGTTACTTTTTGGGACAGCAACTCCCAGAATCCCCAGCCATTTACTGTGCCCTACTGGCTGGAAAACCGGATAATCTGTCGTATAGAAATAAACTTTTCTAAGCACAGGGGGGGGAGGACAGAGAAGGCGGCTAGCCGCGAGGAAAGAGGGGGGTTTACTTCGAAGCCTTTTCCTCAGCCTTCGGGAAGCGAAGAAAAGGCAGAGCAGAAGCGGCGGCGGCGGCGGCGGACAGCTCGCAAACCGGGGAGAAAAAGCCGCTCGGCGAGCGACTGCGCCCTCCGGCCCCGCCTGGCTGAGGGCCAGACGACCAACTCAGCCACGTTGGTGACAGACCCCAGCGCGCCGCTGGTGTGAGCGCCGAGCGCCTCGGCTTCCCGATTGGTCAGTTGCCCCTGGTGGCGTCACGAAAGGGGGCGTGGCTCCCATCAGCTGTTTAGCTAACGCCAGGAAGCAAGTGTATTTTGGAAACAATGCCGTGTGGGGCTCGCGGCGGCGGCGGCGCCTGCGGTTTCAGCCTGGGGACTTTCCGGCTCCCGCTCTGTCCACCGGGCGCTGCGGTTGGCGCTGCAGTAGCACCCGCAGCAGATCCGACGAGTCCTGCGTCCCGTTTTTGAGGGGGCACCGGTTCCTCCCTCCCTCTGCCCCCCCTCCCGTCCCCACCGGTCTCGGCTTCTCTCTCCAGCGTCCGGTCCTTATTCGCAAAGCCCGCAACAGCGATCTCGCCCGAAAGTGGGGCAGCAGGTCAGTGGTGTGGGTGTGGGTGTCGGGGACGGGCTTGTGTATCTGTGGTCTGTGACAGGAGTTGCCCGCAGAACGGAACGCGGGAACTTCCTCATGAGATCATCGCGATCACGGGTCGTTTGCGGTCAGACCCTCATGTTAAGGCATCGATATTTCCTGAGTATCGATGTTGACTCAACGAGGTGAGCTCTCCTTTTACGGAATTAATCCTTTGAAGGGGTCCTTAGATGCGTTTCGCTTTCTTGGTGGCTTACGGCTGATCAGGGGCATCCTCCAGTACTTGAGTCTGCTTGAGATGCTCTTACAGGTACGCGCAGTGAATTGCAGGTTTTGCTCCGCTTCTGAAACTCTGTTACGTTCAGATCCCTGCGGGTGTTCTTTCTCTTTCTGATCCGAAATTTTAAAAGGCTTTTCGCTAGCATTTAGGAAAGTGTTGGTTGGCAGTGTTTCTCTGTGCATCTTTTACTTTACGGTACACCAGAAAACGGAGCTCTCACGCGGTCTTCTGTTTTGACTGTCCTCCACGCCAAGCCTTCCACCGGTGCTGTCGAGCTAATCGGGTGGAAGTCCTGGAGAGTCTGAGATCTGCAGGAATGACGACATCATCAGCCACCATCCTCACGCTTCCTAGTCCCCTTCGAGTTTCACTGCAGTGCTCCGAGTAGCAGGGAAGAGGGAGGGATTTTTCTCAACAACAATGCACCTTGCCTGTTGTGGTGCAAAGCACGTGGGGGTGGTTTGGGTTGTATAGCCATCAGTATAGAAACCTACAGCTACAAGCCCTTAGCTTTACAACGACCCTGCTGGTGGAGAGGAACACTTCTAGACTTGGTCTGTCAATATGGCTCAACCGAGCTGTCTGAACTATCTGAGAGAGAGAAAAATTAATTTTTGTGCGCAGTGTAGCCATATGGGTTTTCTGGGCAAGACTCCTATCTCAGACAGATTACTGTTTGTACCACAGCAATTGGCAGCAGTCTGGATATGTTATAATTGTTTCCTTTGCATGGCTTCTTGGCGTGTGCCCTAAATACTAGATTGCAAAACATCATTTGTCATCTCAATAGCTTTTTCATCTTCCCTAAAAGATATCAATAGTAAATCCAGTAATTCTCCCACGCGGGTGGGGAGATAAAGGCACTTTCCAAAAGAAATGGCCTGTTAACCTGCATATCTGAATAATCTTGCTGATGAGAAAAGAGTAATTTAGTTTTGGAGGTTTGGCTGTTAATGAGCTGTGAGACAAGTACATAAATCAGATTGTATACCATGTATTGTAAGGGGCTACAGTTGGTCAAATTATCTGGATAACTTTGGAGTGTATGGGGAAGGTTAAGGATGTGTTTTGGCTTCATCCTGAGCTAAAATAATAACTTTAAGTGTCAAAGATGCCACTGACTGGCTGTTTAGTACAGGGCAGAAGGAGGAAGGAAGAGTTAAAGGAATTCACCCAGCTTGCTGCGGCTTTGTTTTGGTTAACTGGCTTGCACGTGTATCTCATTCCCCTCCCTCTCTCCCTCCCTTCCTGAGAGCAGAGACGTGGCCGCAACATACAGTACATTGAGTTTTTGTTAGAGGCTGCAGCCGGGAGAGGGAAGAATATATGCATTGTATGCCTCCCAACAGGTGTTTTGAAGTTAGGTGAATGGCAGAACCCTTTTCACATTTTGTGAGTAGTATTAGTACGGAAGGTGTTCGCAGGAGGGACTTTTTTCAAAAGGATATGTTTTTACTTCAAGAAGTATAGAGCTATTTTTACGGGACTTGCAAGCACCAGTGCGACCATATGTTGATCAGGCTGTGATTTGTTACGTACTGCCCATCATACAGCAGCACCATGTTTGTTTTTCTTGTTGCCTTCTAGGTAGGCCATGTATGTGTTGTTGATGCATTATTCTTAAAATGCTCCCTATAAAATATTGATTTTTGAAATAAGCCAGATTTTTGAAACTGGTTTAATTCCAGACATCTGGGGCTATTCTGTTTTACTCACAGTCCTGTGAGGTAGGCAGCTTGAAAGAAAATTATTGGTGAATAGCTGAGTAAGAGCTTGAACTTTCTTTTCCAAAAAAACAATGCACAAAATCATACAACCCAGCAGACCCTTATCTGGGTATGAGCCATGCAGAACATACAGGAACTTTTGAAAATAAACATGCCAAGGAGCCTGCTATGACTGAATGTTTCATCTGTTTATCACATTTTATTGAGCATGTTTCTATTGGTGCTTACTGGTCTGTGTGAAGTCATTTAATGAATGCAGTAGATGATACATTGACATCTAATATGTGACCTATCAGACTACATCAAACTACACACCTAGCAAATAAGTTTGTACGCGATACCTGTCGATGTACAAAGGTAAGGAACATTTTTGGCCTGGGATCCAGATTCTAATCAGGGAAGTGTTAGGGATGCATTCTAGAATGGGTGGACCTTCCAGAATATGGGTACACTCCAGAATGGGTTTCAATGCATGAGTGTGGTGAAAGCAAAGCAGGTAGAGTTGGATTGTTTTCTCACTGGTCTGGGAAGTTGGCTACCAAGACAACACAGTGCTCAGTTCAATTATATGTACATCTCCATACAAGGAAGCCCCACTGCAGCAGCTTCCTAGATCCCTGCAAGAGTGTGGATGCTCATGGAGATTGTAGACCTGAAAGGAGTGTAGAGTTTGTCTTTAAGTGGTGAGACTACTGAAACAGAACTGAAGCATCCTTCTTCTGACCCTAGTAGATCATGCTACTCCTGGATGTGTGCTCACTTTGCAGAACTGTGCAACTGGATAGGATCTATGGGTCTTCAAATCTTATGCCCGGAAACTGCAAGTAAAAGCATCCATGGTAGATGGCCATTCAACCTGTTAAAAAAGTTCCAGTCAGGTCTACCACTTTCCAATGAAGTTCCAGTCCACTGTCAAAGACCTCTCATCTTTATACAGTACTTGTATGCAGCCCTAGAGAGCTCCTGGTGCAGCCTGCATAACCCTCCCCCATTGTTGCAAAAGTTACCCACCCTGCCATACTGCCATCGTCCTCCTATCTCCAGCATAGGTCCTATGTATGTAGGAGAAAGAGATGATGGGTTTCTGTGATACTAGAATGGACTGTTTTGTTAGTTAACAGGGTGCATGTCACTTTTTAATACTTCTCTCTCCCCCCCCCCTCACAAACACTTTAAATAATATCTGGGAAAGCAGTTGTGAGCATCTGTAGAACCTGAAGAGGCTCTGAACTGCCTGTGTGCAAGGAGTGAAGCTTGCTAGTGCTTTAAAATGCTTACTCCTCCCTCTGCTTTTTTGGAGTCTGTTCAGTGGTTTAGGTATCTGACTGTGTGGAGCCATAGGCTGGGAGTTTGATTCCCGGCTGTGCCTCCTTGACAGGAGCTGGTCCCTTCTAGCTCTGTAGTTCTAAGATGATAATGACATTTTAGGATTATGGTTCAGCCTTTGACCTCTTCTATCCTCTCTCTTTGGCTTCTCACTTGCAATTACATAGCTGAATGTACCTCCAAAGAAGAGAGGAGAAGTGGAAATCTTAAACCATGGTGTCCTCGATCTTTAGAGGCCTGGGCGCTGCACAAACCCATCCATAAGCACACCTATGACTCCTTCCTTTATAAATAAAAATAAATGTATTTTGGAAGTATAAGGAAGCACAAGCATGCTGCCCCTTCAGACATGTGAGAATTGCCTTGTAAGAGGGCACAAAAGTTCTTTTTGAGCCATTTCCCCCTTTAAAAAGCTTTTAGTTTTCTGGAGAATGTGGGGGATAGTAGGGGGCTTCATCATTGCTGGGAGTTGGCTACCTCTGTCTCAGAGTTACTCTCAGGAATCCTGTTCTCCCTTTGTTTCTCTGAGGTGAGACATGGTATGCATGGTTTTCTCCTCCAAGCCTGGGCCAGCAAGATGCTACTCTGAACATTTCACGGAGTAGATAATACATTGACATCTAATATGTGACCTACATTGCCTCCAATCTTTTACCCTTACCCCTGATACTTTAGATACCATATCTGAAATCCATCAGCTAAGCCACACTTACAGAGGGTCCATTGAATCAGTGGGGATTTGTTGAGTCAATTCCTCTGTAAGTTCCATTGATTTCAATAGGCTTACTCTACTTTTGACATACTACTGGATTGCAGTCCATATATACTCCCCCTGCTGACCAGACTTCCAGCTAAATTTCATCATGTATTCTGTCCCACTGGAGTGCAGCAGGACTGTACTTCTGCAAACTGTACTATACTGTTGGCTTACACTTTGAACATCCCCAATAGTAGCCCAGAAAGCAGTACTGTATTCTTAAGATCTGCATGACACACTTAAGTATGTTTTTTAACATTTCTTTGCTGCCGCAGGACCCACTACTTGAGGCAGCTGCCTTAATTTACCTAATGACAGAGCTGGCACTATATAGTGAGTTATAGTTCTGGCTAAAATTAATCCAAATGATGGCGTAAAGCTATCTCATGTGGGTTGTATTATTGTAAGCTAAACATACTTGATTGTAATGCAGAATCACACTGATTTTACAACCAAGCTCTGTGTATGTTTAAAGTAAGGCTCTTTGATTTCACTGAAACGTATTCTTCCTTCTGCATTGAACTGGGCTTGTGCATTGAACTGCATTGAACTGAACTTGGGGTCCTTTCCAACTCTACAATTACTATGATTCTAAGTAGGTATCCAGGTGATTGTAGTCTATCAAGGCTCTTGATAAGTTACTTCAAGTTGTGTGGTACAAACCACAGCAAAACAAATGGCCCAAGATTTAATTTCACTTCCTTCTTTGGAGTCTAGGGACATGCATATCTACATGCAGATTAACCTAGCTTTAAAAAGAACAGGTAAAGGTAAAGATTTCCCTTGACATTTAGTCCAGTCGTGTCCAAATCTAGGGTGTGGTCCTCATCGCCATCTCCAAGCTGTAGAGTCAGTGTTTGTCCATAGATAGTTTCTGTGGTCACATGGCCAGCGCTTCTAGACATGGAATGCCATTACCTTCCCACCGTGGTGGTATCTATTTACTCGCATTTACATGCTTACGAACGGCTAGGTTGGCAGGAGCTGGGACAAGCAACGGGAGCTCACTCCGTCACGTGGATTCGATCTTACGACTGCTGGTCTTCCAACCTTGCAACACAGAGGCTTCTGCAGTTTAACCCGCAGCGCCACAACATCCTCGTCGTCGTTTAGTCGTTTCTGACTCTTTGTGACGTCATTGTTTAGTCGTTTTCTGACTCTTCGTGACCCCATGGACCAGAGCATGCCAGTCCCTCCTATCTTCCACTGGCTCCCGGAGTTGTGTCAAAGTCATGTTGTTGGTTCGATGACACTGTCCAACCATCTCATCCTCTGTCGTCCCCTTCTCCTCTTGCCTTCACACTTTCCCAACATTAAGGTCTTTTCCAGGGAGTCCTCTCTTCTCATGAGATGGCCAAAGTATTGGAGCCTCAGCTTCAGGATGTGTCCTTCCAGTGAGCACTCAGGGTTGATCTCCTTTAGAATTGATAGGTTTGTTCTCCTTGCAGTCCAGGGGACTCTCAAGATCCTCCTCCAGCACCACAGTTCAAAAGCATCAATTCTTCGGCAGTCAGCTTTCTTTATGGTCCAGTTCTCACTTCCATATGTCATTACAGGGAAAACCATAGCTTTGACTATTCGGACTTTTGTTGGCAAGGTGATATCTCTGCTTTTTAAGATGCTGTCAAGGTTTGTCATCGCTTTCCTCCCAAGAAGCAGGCGTCTTTTAATTTTGTGGCTGCTGTCTCCATTCACCATGTCCTAGTTAGAGGCTAATTGTAGGTCTTAAGGGGCCCTGAAAACTAGTGATTTGTCTTATCTGTGACCTAGGTGCATGGATGTGGACACTTTCAGTTTATGTCTTTGTATCAACTGTAAATTCCAGTGCCTTTTACGTGATCTGATTGAAAAACTCGTGATTTGTCTTATCTTGTAATCTGTGGCCTAGGTGCATGGATGTGGCCACTTTCAGTTTATGTCTTTGTATCAACGGTAAATTCCAGTGCCTTTTACGTGATCTGAGCAACCAAAAGGGAGATGAAGTTGTTGAATTAATCTTTCTATATGAAGCTTGCAGGGAAAGAGTAGTACCTATCAGAATGCAAACTCCTGGTTTATGGCTTTGGTTTTTTAACATTCTTTTTCCATCTGTTGGCATGTTGCTGGGCTTCCCCTGCCCCAATCTTATTCCCTTGCAAGTATGCGAGTAGAATGCAAACTCCTGGTTTGTGGCTTTGGTTTTTTAACATTCTTTTCCATCTGTTGGCATGTTGGTGGGCTTCCCCTGCCCCAATCTTATTCCCTGCTTTTACCCTGGAATCTAAAGTGTATTTTCTTAGAAGTAAACCTGATAACAAGACAGTGTGCAGTATGCCAGGTCTGGTCCTGTGGCACTACTGCCCTGACATTGGGAAATCTGTTTCAAAGAGAATGGCACCAATGTGTTCATAATATAACCTCACAGTGGAACAGCTGGAAGTCTCCTGCTCACAGCTGCTGGTCAAGGATTGGGCCTCGTCTCTGGTCTTCCTGGAGCCAGGTATGGATCGTGCACCTGTGGGAGGGTCGCCTGTGAAGTTTGGTTTGAACTCAGTAATGCAGTGGGTGTGAGTGTATAAACACTTTCGCAGTTCAAAGAAGCTTAATATGCTAATGGTGGACAATCCTTTGGCTCAGGGATTAGGAGAAATGGCAGCTTTTGATGGGCAACGCTGCTTTAAGGAGCTACTTTACAGTTTTGGACAGCTTCTCTACCTTTTTTATGCTCTGGGGGCCGATGGGATCAGCAGCAGTGTTGGCTTCCGTAGATATATCAGTTCTGCCAGTGTGATGGCTCACTGTTACGATTTGTGATAACCTCTCAGCTAGATCCCTTGTAGCTAATCCCTGTAATGTACTTTCTAAGTGTTGGGGTGGTGAGGGCAATGGCAGAGCTGCTGTTGCCGCCACAGCCCCTCCCCCCGACTCTTTCTGGCCCACATTAGCCACCACTGGTGTCTGTGATTGCAGAATTGTAAAGGTTTATAAAGAACTCTGAATCTTAAATACTGAAAGTGATTTTAAAAAAATATTTTATTAATGTTCCTATAACCTAATTTGGATTTTAAAACAGGCTGCCTTGAAGCTTTTCACTGTGCAGAGAAGAGGGTCTGGTTTGTTTACCTCCATATTTTCATTTTTTTTTCCTGGTGAGAACTAGCTTGCACATACATCCCTCTCTTCCTCCCTACTTTACCACCAACAAGCCTGTTAAGTTACACAGGTCAAGACAGCATGACTAGCCCAAGGGCACTCCTGTGAGTTTCATGATCAAGTGGGGGTTTGAACTCTGTTCTCCAGAGTGCGAATGCAGCCCTGTCTGCTACTCTTGTACCACACTGGCTCTTCCAACTTGCCTGGTCTTTTTAGAAGGTTTAAGTCTTTAGATGGTGTTTTGCTTACCTGCTTTCGGAAACCAAATGACCTTTGTCGCTGACCTGCTACTTGACTCCCCATCATCCCCCACCTGCTCATTCACAAGCTTTTTGTGAGGATGGTATCAAGAAAACCTTGTATGTTTTTCAGTCTGTTCTTGGCTGTGTCACTCAGTGACACCTTACCTGTTTTCATAATGGGTGTTTTTTGTATATATGGTAGGTGGAATGGATCCCCCTGACTTCTCCAACATGGATGCGCTGGATGATGATGTGTTCCACTCTGATGACTGTGAACTTGCTGGTCGGCCCCGTGAGATGACCTTTCCTAGCCTTTTCACTCAGAGCAAATCTTACAAGTGCCTCCTAGGGAGATTCCAGCTCTTCCCACTTACACACTGCTGTGGCCCTGGTACCAGGCCAGCCAAGCAACAAGACAAGGCAACTCAAACCCTCCACCCATCCTCTTCTAGCCAGGATGTCATGTTACCTTGTGGGGTTGTGGAAGAGCCCCAAAGACTCTTCTATGGTAAGTAGGAATGCTGAGGTCCGTTGCCTTTGAATGGCTGCTCCTTCTGAGGACAGATTGTTTTCTCTGTTGAAATGTTGTGATTCTCGCCTTGTGAGGTACAAGGGGCTGCGCTAGAAGACTATAGAAATTTGTGAGGTCAGACAGAATCATGCTGGGAGAACAACTATACTTGGAGAACAGCTAGATGAAATCCAGGGACGCAGAGGATTTGACTGGTTTTCATACTGTCAAGAATCATTTTATTCATTTTCCCATGACTCCATTAAAGATGTGTGCTGAATTCCCCATGCCAGAGTCCTTATCTCTCATTTACTACTCCTTCCTAGGTTTTTAAAATTCTGCAACACACGGGTACTTTGCAATTAGGGCTGCAACGATTAATCAATCATCTTATGGTGATTCATCTGGAAATCAGTTTTGTGGATCTCATTCTCATCTGAACAGAATTGTGGTTTGACAGAATTGCGGTCCCAGAAGTCTATACTGAGAAGTTTGGCTCACTGAGTCTCCTGGGATTTTTAAAAGTCTTATTAAACTGAAGTAAAGCTGATTAAATATCAGTTTTGATTTTGAGGATGATTTTGATCAATTATGCAGACGTGTTTTGAAAAATATTTTAAGTACTGCTATTATAGAGTCAGACTTTAGCTTGGAAGAGTCCTTCCTTTTGCCACTTGTAGGAAAGAACACTTTCAGCTTAGAAAGTGCCTACTGTGGCTCATTCAAGTGTCATCTAAAAAAAGAGATGAAGGGGGTGGGGGGTGGGGAAGCATTTGTGCTTGTTTGTGTGGACATCATTGATTTATTATTATATTGATTTAATCAATTAAAATATGAATGATTAACTTTTTAAAGCCATTCTTATTTAAAGATGAACTGATCAATGTCAGATTGCATGGTCAGCTTGAATTCTATAACTGGGACAGCTTGGAGCGGCACTGCTAGGGTGCTAAATTCATTGCCAAAATTCGGTGGCATAGTGGCAAAAACCCTACATTTCAAAAGGTTTTCTCCTGCGGGCAGCACAGGGTTTCTTTTAAAGCAGACCCACACTTCTAAGAGGCTTCTGAAATCCTGACTGTGGCTCTTTCTGTGTATGTTCTGTATGCAGAAGTGTTTTAATCTGAGATTTTTCCCCCCTTTTGCCATCACATGATAGCTGCATGCATGTCAATGAAGTGATAAGGGAAGCAGTCAGGGCAGTGGCACAAAAATGGGTGGAATGCGGATGCTGTGCAAAGGTTATGTTTTTCACATCAATCCTTGTTTAAAGGACCTATTGGAAGTGCCCTGAACTGGAACACTCTTGTCTAGAAGTACTGAACTGTCAGTACTGAACTGTCAGTACTTAGATTGCAAAGTCTTGTATAACGTGATCCTCTGAGAACGGTGGCAGTGGAGCCTCAGCTGTCAGCCTTCTGAAGGTGAGTGGAAATTTGGTACAACTGCTGTGTTTAATTTAAGTGAGGATTTTATTTATTCAGGAATAAATAATAATATGAATCGAAGACTGTCTGTCTTGCACATGAAAGTCTGACACAGAGTTAAACTATTGTCATAGGACGTGTTGTTTATGGCAGAAGGACTGTGCTTCATGCTGAAAGTCTTTGTAAGCCTTTGATTCTTCTCTGATATTTGGCAGGAAATGCTGGATACCGTTTACATGTCAACCCAATTGGTTTCTTATTGAATCCACGCCTCCAGGAGGAACCTCAAGGAAGTCCACAGGAACTGCGTACTGAAGTTCAGATTGCGCGGAAGTTACAGTGCATTGCAGACCAGTTCCACAGGCTTCACCTACAGAGGGTAGGATGTCACTGGGGAGTGAGGTGTGGGTGGATGGTTCCATTGACAAGCATGCTCTGTTTTTATTTGGCTGGCCAAATGTTTTACCTGTCCAACTTTTCAAGGCGGTAGCTGAATATTCTGGGTCCAATCCAGTGGGTAGACTTAACTAGACTAGAACCGCTGAATCAATGGAATTTATATAAGTTTTGATTTGCCTTTCAGCGATTAATTCAGAGTGTCTCCTTTAGTTTGAATTAGCAGTTGGATTTCAGTTTATGTGTGTTCCTGTTGATAATATATCATTGGATGAAAACTTAGAAACCCTATTTTTGAATCTTATTTAGTCTATTCCTGATACTCCTTTTTATTTGTTCAGTTTTAGTCTTTTCTGATTAATCTTCCTTAACCAGAGTCTCAGAGTGAATAATAGTAGTCTTATGTCTCTCCCTATAAAGCTAATTTCCTGTGCTCACTCAAACTGGAGGCAAACCAACTAAATCCCTCTTTGCAATTTTATGGCACAAAAATAATCAGGAAAACTTTTGAGGAAAGTGTGAAAATGCTCTTTCTAAGAATCTGTGGTTTAACTAATGTAGAGAGGAGATCAGGACACATCCTAAAGATTTTGCTGCCTATGGTGATTGACAAGATGCTGTCTTCCCATACCGCTAACAACCATTAATTGGAATAGTAGTGGAAACTGATTTCAATGGAGATGGAACTCCATCCTCTTTCACATTCACAAGCAACAAGGTAGCTTATTGGGCAGGGGGCAAACTATGCTGTATACACAGTTGTGTCCTCCAGCTGATCATTCAAAGAATGTTTATTAAATCCCCCATTCTCCTTGATTCAGACTGTCTCAACATGACCAGATACACGTGAGGAATTTTCAAGTCCCATAAGATTTCTTGCCTCCTGTGTGAGAGTGAGAAAAGCAATGCTTAGTGCTCCCTCCAACACAGTTACTACAACTAATTCAAAATGCCTCAAGGGCACCCCACACAAAACAAGTAGCCTTTCCCTTTAAGAATAAAAACATGTGTGTACTAGCTGATTTTACAGATGCAAATAAACCATGCAAATTTCAGATTTATAGAAGTTCATGAAATAACAGCTATTGCAATTTTGTGCAATTTGCACAAGTGACAGGTTTGCATAAAACCGATGAGCCAGGAACATCAGAAAATATCTTATGTTTTTGTAGGACTAGGAGGGGGGAAAATAGCAGTTCTTTGTCCTTGCCTATGAGAAGGTATGGATATACATCTCTATCTGCAATAGCCGACAATAGACAGGTGGGTCAAGGAAGAGCACTCAGAAGGACTGCTACCACCCCTCACATAGTCTCCCAACACCTGCCCTTGACACAGTAATCTCATTTGCCAATTCTTTACACATGGCCAAAGTGCACGGAGATCACACATCTTGTTTTTAAGACAAACAGTGCTTTCAGAGGCTTCCAGGAGCATGATCCACCTCAAGAAACAAGGTAGCTGGTTTCCGTAGACCTTATTTATCTTTGGCAAATCACTATTTTCACTATTTCCACTATCGATTCAGCAGAAGCAGGGGTGTTGAGCACAGCCCATAGGATGTCATGCTTCCTCCAGATGCTGGAAGCTATCAAATTCTGCTTTAAGATAAGTTAGAATTATTATCCCATTTTGTAGATTTGGGAGGAAAGTGAGATTCAGAGAGAGAGGCTTGCCTGAGGCCACATTGTAAGTTCATAGAAAAGATGAAATCTGAACCAGAGACGCCTTGATTTGTAATTCAGCTGCTTAGTTACATCAGCTCTAGAGAGTGTACTGATTTGGGCTAACGTGTACGGTATTGGCATTTTTGTGGCAAGAATCCGGATTCAAACCTACTGTTTAGACTTCTTAAAAGTCCCTTGCAGGAAAGCACTTGTAAAACTGCCCGGTGCCAGAAGTTTCACTTGAAGGATTTTCACATTCTCTTTATTTAAAAAGCTTCAGGACCAAACCACGGATCCTGAACTTCTCACTTTTGCAGTCTGGGAGAAGCTAAGGTCACCACTGGAATGGGATGCTCCCTGCCCACCCCTCTGCCCCATACTCACTGATACTGTGGCAAACCTCTCCCTATCCCAAGTGGAAACTTCTCACATCTCTTGTTGCTGCAAGTAAAATAAAAATTCCCAGCATTCTTTGGGAGAAAGCCAGGGCTATTAAAAACAGTTTGAATGTGCCCAGAATGATCCTATCTAGGCTTTCTGCAGGTTTTCCACTCCAGCTGGGAGGAATTACAGTGTTGGAGCTTATCAGTGTTGTTGGTTCTGGTTCTCCTGGAAAGATGAGCATGCTTGGTGTCACAAGGCCAAAGCATCAGTCGGGGGCCAAGGAGTTCCTTTCCAAAAAGGAAAACAGGGTTCTAATAAGGAGACTGTATTTCTTCAAGATAAGGAATACATTCACACTGTGCTGTGGGACATAAACCAAAACACAGAAGTTGCAACGCCTTTCTGTGGATCTTTCCAAATGAACAGGAGTGATAGACGTGAAGGCTTCAGGAAGCTCTTATGTGCTTGGGAGAGGGGAACAGGATGAGGCCATGGCTGCAAAGTGTGTGAACTTGACATTGTGCAGCCACTTGTATCCCTGCGGGAGTTCAGCAGCCTCTGTCAAGTTCTGGGCAGGCTCCACACAGGGAACACTTGGGCCAGTCATGCGCCTTTTCAGCATGCTGTATCTCATAGGGTTATTGTAAGGATGAAACTTAAGGAAGGAGAGCCATAACAGTCATTAGAAGGAAGACAGGATATTAATGCAAGTTTATAGATAAAATATTTGTTCCATAACAACAACCACCAACACTGCCACCCCTGGATGTGCAGGCTAGCTTTTTGCAGTTTTGGTTATACTGTATGGTTGAACTTGAGGGAAAGAGGATGTCTTAAGCCAGTGTATACAATCTTTGAATTTTTTTAACTTAAAAAGCAGGGTTTTTGAAAGTGAAAGGAAGGGGTTAACTGAAGCATTTTAAAACAGATTTATCAGACTGTGTAGTAGCATTCTAGCTAGCTGGATAGCTCAGTGAGTTAGCTAGAAGTCCAATTCCCCATTGTGCCTCCTACAAGAAGAGCCAGCCTGTGTAGCCTTGGGCTAGCTGCACAGCCCCATGGCACCCCCAGAAGAAACCAATAGTGAACCACTTTGGAGTACTCAAAACCTAGAAGAGAGTGGAAAGGATCACATTTAAGTCAGAACTGATTTGATGCACATAATAACTAGTAGCATGCCACTTTGTGGCTCTTTATAAATGTGTAGTGTCAACCTGTTTGATGGGTATGGGTGTCTTAATTTTTCTCCACTGAACATCCATTGGACATCATATATTTTTATCCTAGATAGCATTATTTTGATAGATTTGTCCATGAATTCATTTCTGGTATAAGTAACTTTTTCTAGTGTAGCAAAATTTAATGAGGTTTTGTTTTGTTGGTTTCTTTTTCTTTTCTGTCAGGAGTCCTGAAAAGAAGCTGTAGAACTGGTTGTAATTCAACCCTTCCCATCTGGGGAGTGTAACTATCCCGTGTCTTTGTTTGGGAAATGTGTCCAAGAATGCCCCAGGGACAGGAAAAAAAATAAGCTGAAACCTCAAAAAAGAACATGGCCTGTCCCCTCCCTTTTCTTCGGGCAAGACATGTGGTGTTGCCATGGCATCAGGAACTGGTGAGGAAGCAAAGCCTCATCAAAAGTAATGCAGGGGAATCCTGCCTCAGCCAAGCATGTGGAAGAGTTAGTAAACAAAAGCACCCTTCTTTACTACGAGCTTCTACAGCCAAGGGAGGAGGAGCTTGCTCTTTCTTTCCTTTTCTCCAGCTGAAACAATAGAGTGTTGGAAAGCTGGGAGAGAGTGTTAGTTGACCATTTTATGCACTCTCTGCATGTGCATCTCTGTGCGTATTTTAAGATGATGAAGACAAACTAATGTTGGGAAATAAACTATCGGCCTCTGCTGCTAAGGATCTCAACACAACATTTAAACAAGGGGTTCTCTTCTCGTAGGGAAATGTTCAGGCATTATCTTTGCATGGAAGTGTGCATCATTCTGTCTTTGCTTGGAACTATGTCTGAGACCACTGAAAGGTTTATTTATTGCTATGTTTATGTTAATACCTTTTCCTTCCCATCTAACTCTCAGCCAATTTTCTCCTCTGGTGGTTGGCAACAGCAATAGAGTGTTGTCCATTAGTTATTTGAGAGATTGTCTGTGGCCAGAAAACTGTGACTTATATAAAAAGATGCCTTCTTCAAGAGTGAAGGAGTACAGAATTCTATGTATGAATAATTCAACTAGGTCTAGGCGAAACTTTCCCAATCTGGTGCCTTCTAGAGGTTTGGGTCTACAATTCCCATTTCTCCCAGTCAGCATAGCCCACATTCACTAAGGACCAGGCCTATCTTCAAGAAGACATCAGTCTTTTCACCTCTGTTTTAAAAAAACATGCTAGACAGCTTGCTTTTTCTTAATATTACAGCTGTATATTGTGATACTATGTATTTTTCCTTTGTGGTATATCAAAATATACTAATAGCTATTTTTAAAACATCAACCAAATGTTTTGCATTATTCTGGATTTTCACACACTTTATTTCCAGGGGCATGAAATGTGTTGCTGCTCAAGAGCAGGAACAGACTGTTGTGCCTGCAAACGTCTCTGAGGCTGGCACTTGGCCGCCAGCTGATCCAATGGCATTTCTTTAGCAGCAAGTCCCACTGGAATGGAATCCCAAGTAATATCCCGGCCTATGGCCAATTCTAGCACATTTTCATCCCTAACTCCACATTTTGCAGCCTTTTAGAACAACGAAGAAAATAGAGCAAGCATTTTCTTCCCTGCCTTGATTGTGGCTGCAACATCTCATTTAACAGTCAGGGAGTCTATAAGAAATAGGGGCAGTTTATTCTTGCCATACAAGAGCTGCATAACTGTCAATAAAATCCAGGAGACCTGACTCCAGCCCCCTGCTCTGGCCTCCAGATCTTGC